AACCTCAAACGTGATCTCTAATCCTGACTCTCACTGGCTAATAGCTCCCTGTATCACAGAGAGACTATGCCACTTGTGATAGCTGTCACTGGTTGGCAACTGTATCTGGAATTAACTAAAACCCTAGCAGTGGGGTACCCCTTTGAGGGATTTTTCCCTGACTGAATTGACTGAGGTGGGAAGACCCACATTTAAGTCTGGACCACACTTTCTGATGGCGGCTGATATAAAGGACATAGAAGAATGAAGACTCGCTTTGTCTGCTGGCCCTCACTCTTCATTCATTGATATTAGCACCTAATTCTTTGGGATGCTGGCATTTACTGAAGACCACCTGAGACTTCCAGCCCTATGGACTGAACAACTACTGGACTCTTGGGCTTTCCATTGTGAGACAGCCATTGTTGCACTAGCTGGACCACAGCCTGTAAACAGGCACAGGGAAGTCAGAGGTCAATGCTGGGTGTCTTAATGTTTTACTGCTGTGAAGAGACACATGGCTATGGCAAGTATTATAAAGAAAAGCTTTATAACTGGGGCTTGCTTATCGTTTCAGAGGTTTAGTCCATTATGAGCATGGTGGGAAGCAAGGCAGCATGCAGGCAGACGTGGAGAAGGAGCTGAGAGTTCTACATCTTGTCTCACAGGTTACAGGAAGTGGTCTGATACACTAGACAAGGCTTGAGTATATATAAGAAACTGCAAAGCCTGCCTCCACAATGACACATTTTCTCCAACAATACCACACCTACTCCAAAAGACCACACCTACTGATGGCGCCATTCCTTTTAGGGGGCATTTTCCTTCAAACCACTGCAGTTTGTCATGGGCTTCTGAAACCTCAAAGCCCATCCCTCAGTGACACATTTCCTCCAACACGGCCACAGCTCCTAATCCTTTCAAACAGTGTCACTCCCTAGTGACCAAACACTCAAATCTAGGAGCCAATGGGAGCCATTCTCATGCAAACCACAACATTTGACTCCCTGGTCTCCATAGACTTGTAGTCACATCATAATGCATATGCATTCAGTCCAACTTCAGAAGTCCCCATGGTCTATAACAGTCTAAAACTGTTCAAAAGCCCAACATTGAAAATCTCTCCTAAGACTCAAGGAAATCTCTTAACTGTATGTAACCCCTGTAAAACCAAAATAAAAAAGCAGATTGCATACTTCCAACACACAATTGCACAGAACTGCCATTCCAAAAGGGAGGAGGAAAGGGAACATAGTGATGAAATACTGGACCAAAAAAAGACTGAAAATCAGCTGGGAAAACTCCAAGTTCTGCATCTCCACATCTTCAGATCTCCAACTCCTTGCAGCTTTGTTGACTGCCACACACTTCTCTCTCTCGGGCTGGTTCCACACTCTGTTAGCAGCTTTTCTCAGCAGGTACTCCACAACTATGACTTCTCCAACATCTTGGGGTCTCCAACAAAATCCAGGCTTCACCTTCACATCTTCATGCAATAGCCTTTCTGGACCTCCACGCAGAGGTTATACTGACACATGCCTGACCTTGATGCTTTCCTTAGTCAAGGACAGAGATTCCACAACCCCATTCTTGTATCCTGAACTCTAAAGCCTGAACCTTGTGGCTGAACCTGACAAGTTCTACTGCTTGCTGTGGCTGGAACTTGGTCCCCTTGTTCAAATACATTTTCATCAGCTTTCTGTTTTTGATGGTTGCCTTCATTGTTTACACTTTTCTTTAATTCCTTTTTGTAAGTTGGAAGCTTAGCTGGGCAGAGTCTTGCCCTGAAGTCACTACTCCCTTTATTCTACTTAGCATCAGGTTTTTCTTTAATCTTTTTATTTTGTTGAGTACTGGATTTGGCTCCATTATACTTCCTGGGTGCTCATTTCCTCCTCAAATTGTACATTTTGTATTTTTCCTTACTCGGCTTGCTCCTTTTCATTGTAGATCTACACAAGTGACCTCTAATAACCACATGACACAGTCAATACTAGGCTTCATCAAAATCTCCTCTGCCAATGCCATTAATATAAAACTCCTCAGTTTGACCTGTTGCGGAATATCTGTTTAACAAGGCAAAGATGTGTTACACTTGTTTATATTGTGGAATATTGCTTTAACTATGTAAAGTTGTGCTACATTTGTTTATGCTGCATTTGTTAATGATGTAAAGATATGTTGCTTTGCCTGCCTAAGGCATATTTGACTGGTTTAATAAAAAGCTGAATGGCCAATATCTGGGTAGTATAGGGATAGGCAGGGCTGCCTGGCAGAGAGACTAAATGGGAGAAAGAAAGGGAGCCTCTAGGAGCCAGCCAGGCAGCCACCAGCCAGCCAGACTCAGAGTAGGGCACACAGAATAAAAGAAAGCTAAAAAAAACAAGAGGCAAAACGGAGATGAAGAGAAACAGGTTAAATTAAGTTACAAGAGCTAGGGGGACAAGCATAAGCTAAGGCTGACCATTCATAACTAATATTAAGTCTCTGTGTCTTTTTGGGGGCTGGTTGGTGGCCCCAAAGAAAGCCTGTTACATTAGTGTCAAGCATATTTTTTTGACAAGGGCAGAAAGCAGTTACATTATTTGCCAAAATATCACAAGAACTGTCTGTAGACCACATAGTAATATTCTCTTCTAAAACCTCTTAAGCTGGGCCATTGCTCTCAGCACCATTGTCTTCCACTAAGCCCTGATTTCCTGCTTTCCTTCAAGTGTTTTCCTAATCCAAACTCCCAAATTCCGTATTCTAACCACAAGCACATGGTCAGGCCTGTTACAGCAATATCAATATTGCTCCATGGAACCAACTTCTGTCTTACTCAATGTTCTGTTGCTGCAAGGAGGCCATGACTACAGCAAGTCTTATAAAGTAAGCATTTAATTGGGGCTAGCTCACAGTTCAGAGGCTTAGTTCATTACCAGCATGGCAGGGAACTCAGGGGCATGTGAGTGCTGGAGAAGTAGCTGAGACTTCTATATCTGGATTCCACCACACTGGGTGTCTTTATCTTTCTCCACTACTTTATTCTTTTGCGTTTGTTTTGAGACAGGGTTTCTCTGTGTAGCCGCGGTTGTCCTAGAGCTCACTCTGCAGACCAGGCTGGCTTCCAACTCACGAAGATTCTTTTTATTCTTTTTTTGTTTGTTTGTTTGGTCATTTGAGATAGGGTTTCTTTGTGTAGCTTTGGAGCCTGTCCTGGAACTCACTTTGTAGACCAGGCTGGCCTTGAACTCATAGAGATCCGCCTGCCTCTACTTCCCAAGTGCTGGGATTAAAGGGGTGCACACCACTACTTGGCTTACTTTTTAAAATATTAATTTGTTATTACTGTGCAGCTTTTACCTGGGTCCTGGGCATCCAAGCTGGTTCCTCATGCTCAGCCAGAAAACACTTTACTGGTTGAGCCATCTCCCCAGTTAAGCATTTAAAAGTGAGATTTTCCACTTAGGGGGCACATAGCCTTAGAGGCTGCCAATAAGTGTCAAAATGCCTCGAAAGTATTTCCTTCCCGTTTCTTTTAGCCAAGTCCCATGTAGCTGCAGCTAGCCTGGCATTACAGGGCTATACCATCTTGCTTCTGCCTCCCACCCACCTCTCAAGCCTCTGAATCTTTGCTTCCTGAAGCAGCACTGGCAAAGGTCACTAGCAACTTCCTTGTTTGTGAATCCAGGGTCATCTCTGAGTTTATTTACCTTATTAATCACCAGCTCTCAGCACTTCCCTCCTTGGCTTCCGTCCCCTGGGTTACATACCAAAAGTGTTCCCCGTCACTCAAACAATCCAACTGGCCTCCCTCCTTCCCACAATCCCCAATTCAGGCTCCGCATTGTACTAAAACTTCATGGTAAATCTAAGCCCTTGTGCTCAAAGGTGTAAGAAACATTGGAGAATATATCACCACTGGCATCGTCTATCTGCTCTTTCCAAGATGAGCCCAAGCATCAGATGCTGCCCTGGGCCTGCACCTGTCCCTCTAGTGTTTCTTTTGCATCAGTCTCCCTCTGGCCAGAAGATGCTTCATGTCCTTTCTTGTACTCAACCTCTCACGGTTACCCTTTTCAACTTTTCCTCCTTGAGTTCTTACCTTCCTTTTCTTCACAGGTCTTTCACGACCCAGCTCCACAACTACCCTGTTGCCATAAATGCTACTTCTCTCCGGGACTGAGCTCCCCCAGTCCTTACTCTTCTGAAGTATTTGTCCTTCCCATCGGATTAAAAGTTGTTCAAGCACGGTTCCTTCCTCTCTCGCATTAAGATCATAAGTTCCCAACCGTCCTAATGCTGAGACCCTTTAATACAGTTCCTAATGTTGTGGTGACCTCTAATCATAAAATTATTTCCTTGTTACTTCATAACGGCAAATTTGCTTCTGTTATGAATCATAGTACAAATATCTGATAGGAGGGGTCGCGACCCACAGACTGAGAACCGCTGAACCAAAGGCTGGCACTCACTAGCACCCAAAGATTTGTATGTTGTCCAGTCTCTGGCACGTACAGCTGTTCAGTAAAATTTTATTAAGTGCAAGAAAGCTGTACCCGTCTAAGCCAGTTGGAAAGGGCATTCCTTAAGTCATTACCTGAAGACCCCCTTCCCAGCCGGGAAACCAGTCTCCCACGAGTGGGAGAGCCGGTCGGCACGCGCCTCCTTACGCTGTTTTGTTCGTTTTTCTGCCTCCAACCTGTGAACTGCGGCTGGTGATGGGGGTAGACATAGTTAGAGGTGCAAGTCCAAGTTTCCTCCAGGGTACGAGAAGACAAAGTTCTGAGATGCCCATAATACTTCAACTCTCCCACCTACTCTTACCTTCACCGGAGGGTGGGGACGCTCCAGGAGCACCGCCCCGCTGACCAATACTTGATCCAGATCAAGAGAGTCAGCCAATTGCTGTGGGCCAAAGACACGAGGGGCGGAGCGTGGTTGTTAGAGGGCCTGGCTAGTGGGTGAAGCCGGAGGCGCCGAGCGACTTGGTGGTTGCTAGGAGGGAGGTCACAGAACGCGGCTCCAGGATTGGGCAGCGCCGGGCGTGGGCAGGCGGAGTGGGCGTGGCCCGGCGGCGTCGGGCCCAGGCGAGGTGAAACTGCGGGAGTTCCGGCGGGAGGCCCGTGCTGACGGCCCTCACCTTCACCATGGCCTCGGCCGAGCTGGATTACAGCATCGAGATCCCGGATCAGCCCTGCTGGAGCCAGAGTATGGAGGGGGATTGGGGAGGTAGCTCAGCAGCAATGCCCCGCCCGCCCCGCGGCCCCGCCCTCTCGTGGCCCGCCCCCTCCGGGGTCCTCAGGGCGGAATGAAGCTTGAGGGGCGCGCAGAGCCCCGCCCATGCGCCCCGCCCCCCAGTCGACTGGGGGTCTTTCTGTTCCACACCAGATTCTCAAACTCCCGTGTTCTGCTTCCCTTTGTGGCTGGAGGCCCCTCAAGGTTCACTCTGATTCTTTTGTTTTGGATCGGGCTTCCCATTTCTCTCCCCTCATTGCTAAGTGTGACTAGGCCCACCTTTCATTTTCCAGAACGAATGGAGTCCTTTGGGGGAGCCTCTGGGCCCCAAAAGTCCAGGGGCTCAGCATGCCTAGTCCTCTGCTTCCCCACGAGCCTTGGTAGTGGTTAACAGAACCGTCTGTTAGGCTGGCTTGAACTCTGGAAATCCTATCTCCTTCCTGCCTTTAGTAATTGGATAACCTTCAGTAGACTTTCAACTCTGAATTTCAGTTTTCCCTCTCTGCAAAAATGAGGAAAAATTGCTGGTTGCACAACTGAGATTATTTGTGTCAAGGTCTTGGCATAGGTCCTGATAGGAATGAATTCGCTAGTTGGCATTTAGAATGAACATTGTGTACCCCTATTATTCATATCATTAAAAAGGATGTGTGGGAGGCTTCATGAGATTAGTAGCTTGTAAAGCAGTGTAAGTTGTTGGACCAGAGAATAGAAAGTTGTCCCTGTTGGAAACGATGGCAGAGGAGGCTTGGAGTACAGGTTGACCTCTGCTTCTGCTCTTTGGTCTGTTTGGAATAGTGTTTCCAGTCCACTGCCCTTCACGTGTTCAGCTCGTCATGAAACTTAGCTTCTTCAACAGCCTTCCCAGGCCAGTCTGATCCAGTGTGTGTCCCTGTCCTTGGAGTTTAGGACAGGGCAGCAGCCTCTCATCTCCCAAAGCACGAATGGCTGGCACTGTCTGTTTGTCCCTAGAGTTGGGTCATTGGGCTTATGCTGTGAAAGGACTTTTGACTGTAGCATGGGATGAAGTCTGTTAATATTGCTGCCCTTGCAGAGTCATTAGCTGCAAAGGACTGGCACTCCTTTCTGCGTGGCCAGGAGGTCAGGGATTCTCTCTCTGCCCAGGTGGGTAGAGACAATCTTGGTTTGCATTTCTGCCCTACCTCTTACTAGCTCTCTGTCTTGGGCAAGATTTTATTATTTATTTTTGCAGGCCTGGGGGATTGAACTCAGGGCCTAATGTGTGCTAAGGCAAGTGCTTTACCACTATGCCATACTCAGCCTTTATTAAAATTGATTACATATTTATTTATGTGTGTGCACGCACACCGTAGCATATGTGCACAGGACAGAGGACAGTTGGTTCTCTTTCTGTGCCCTTCGGAGCTGAAGATCTGACAAGAGCTGTTTACTGGCTGAACCATCTCACTGCTCAACCCTCCTTTTCTGACAGTCTCACTCTGTTGTCTAGACTGTCCTTACACGTACTCTACTGCCCAAATAAGGTTGAAATTACAAATACTGTTCAATCTTTGGTAGTAGCTAGCATTCTAGGCATGGGCCATCAGAACTGGCTTTGGTAGATGATGGTGATGATGATGATGGAGATGGGGGTTCTCTATGTAGCTCTCACCATTCTGGAACTCATTATGTAGACCAGGCTGGCCTTGAGCTTACAGAGAACTTCCTGCCTCTGCCTCCCAACTGTTGGGATTAAAGGCGTGCACTGCTACTCCTGGCTTTAGCAGATCATCGAATCTTTCTGAGTCATGTATTTCTCCTGTGTCAGATGGAAATGATAATAACAGCCCTCTAAGATTGTGGAGGGTAGATGCTGGATGCATGTGTCTGGAACCGAGTGGCTGCTCTGGCCATGCTTCTCCCCTGTGTGTCCCCTCGTTGCTGGAGCCTGGGGCTTAGCCCCAGAAGATATCTGAGGGACCAATTTACCCTGCATCCCTCTGCCGGACATTGTGTAGGCAGGATGCTTCCTCCCAGACACCAGGGCCCATTGGAGGAATTGTTAGAAAGCACTTCCTGTTCTTGAACCACATCAGCCTTCGTATTGTTTCTGCTCAGTTTGTCATTTGCTGTGTCCCTTCGAAGGGTTAGTTGCTGGTGCATCGAGGGACTCCTGTAAGGCACCCTGCAGACAGCTGTGGTTTTCTGGAGAGAGGGAATAAGGAAACAGTGGTTTCACAATTCTGTGGATACCATCTAGAAAGCAAGATCTCTTCCTCCCTAAGGCACAGCTTCTCTGCTTCCTTGAATCTTTCCTCCAAGAGGAAGTACCTCCAGGGCTTTCAGTTGTGCTTGAGCCAGGCTAAGTTAGAGGTCATGAACTGCATCCTGAAACCCAGCCCCAACACCAGTCTAAACCCCAACCATAACCCTAACCCTAGCCCCAACACCAGCCTAAACCCAACCCCAACCCTAACCCTAACACCAATCTAAACCCCAACCCTAACCCTAACATCAGCCTAAACCCCAACTCTAGCCCTAAGACCAGCAGCCTAAACCCCAACCATAACCCCAACCATAACGTAACCCCAACCCTAGCCCTAATACTAAACTGGAGGACAGGGACTTCTTCTCTAACTTTAAACCCTAACATTAATGCTAACCCTAACCCTAATCCTGCAAACCAAACTGTAATCCTAACCCTAACCCCAACCCTAATCCTAATTCCAACCATAACCATAATCCTAGCATTTAAAAAATATTTTAAAGTTATTAATTTATATTTTACATTCCAATCTCAGTTCCCCCTCCCTTCTCTCCTCCCACTTACCCCACTTCTCTCCTAAGCCACCTCGAATCTGCTCCTTGGAGAGGGTAAGGCCTCCTCTGGTAAGTCTACTAAGTCTGTCCCATCATCTAGTTGAGGCAGGACCAAGGCACCTCCCCACCCCCCACACCCCTGTGTCTAGGCTGGACAAGGTATCTCTCCATCTAGAATGGGCTTCACTAAGTCAGTTTGTACATTAGTGTTAGGTCTTGGACCCATTGTCAGTGGCCTCATATGTTGTCCCAGTCACACCATTGTCACCTATATTAAGGGAGTCTAGTTTGGTCTTATGCAGATTCCACATTTGTCAGACCTGAGTCAGTGATCTCTCACTAGCTTGGGTCAGCTGATTCTGTGGGTTTCCCCATCATGGTCTTGACTCCTTTGTTCATATTATCGCTCCTCCCTCACTTTGATTGTACTCCAGGAGCTTGGCCCATTGGTTAGTTGTGGATTTCTGCATCTGCTTCCATCTGTTTCTGGAAGAACATAACCCTAACATTAATGCTCACACTAACTGTAACCCTAACTCTAACCCCAACCCTGCTTCTTTGAATCTTCCCACCACAATGATGTACCTTGAGGACTTTTAATTGTTTCTTATTCATCCCTCTCAGAGTACTGCCCCAGAGCTCAGCTAGAGGTCCTGGACGGCTTCACTACCTCCAAACTTAACCCCAGCACTAACATTATCTCCAACCCTAATTGTAACTAAAGACTTAATCCTAACAAAAACCCTAAACCTAACCTTAAATTAGTGCCAATCCTAAACCTAACCCTAACCCCAATCAAAAACCTGATTCCTAATCCGAATCTCAACTTCAAACCTAACCCCAAAGCTAATCTAACCAAAACTGCAACCCTAGCTCCAGTCCTAATTCTAACCATAGCTCCAACCCAACCTAACCCAAATCCTAACTACAACACAAACCCTAATACCAACCATAACCTTAACCCTAATCATAGCTCCAAACCTAATCCTAACCCTAACCCAACCCTAACCCTAACCCAACCCTAACCCTCACCCTAACTCCAACTCTAACCCTCACCCTAACTCCAACCCTCACCCTCACACTAACCACAACCTTCACCCTAGCCCCAATCCTGTCCCACGCACTGTGGTGTCTGAACCTGTTGCTTCTCTTCTGTAGAGAGCTCATCTGCAGGCTGGCCTGGATGCACAGAATGCCTCTCACCTGAAGGCCCAGGGCAGAGATTGTCCTCCCTTTGTGGTTATTGTTTCGTGAGGAAGTGTGTAGGATGGTCAGTCATATTTAGTTTTTGGAATTGCCTTACCCTTTCCCTGACTAGGAAATCAAAGCCACAGAGCCAAGCACTGCAGTCATTTGACAGTGAGGTTAACTTTACAGCCATTGTTCACTGTGTAGCGGGGGTGGGGGTGGGTGGCTTGGCTGGACTCATTCAGAGCCCTGAGCTTTGTGGGACAGGCTGGGCTGACTGGTGTGCCTAACTAACATGTGTGAGATCTTGGGTCTGATCTTCCAGCACCACGCTGACCCTACAAAATTCATAGAAACTTTGAAGACAGGCTCTCACTCTTTGAGTCACCAGAAGACCTCAAGGCAGCCACCCAAGGTGACTTGTGGGTTCCAGACTTTATTGTGAGCCTTCTCTTTTGCCTGCCACTGGCAAGGGTAAAAGAAATGTGGCCATATCTTTAAAATCAGAAAGCTTTTGCTGGCACCAGGAAGCAGTGCTGGGTCCCCACCATCATGAGGGGCCCGTGTTGAGGGAGTGGCGCTTCCGGAGGACTGACAGGTCCATGATGATCAGCAAAAGTGCTGGAGTGAAGGCATAGGAGGAGAACAGAGGGACTGCAGGGAGCAGGGGCCTAAAGGGGGGAAGCTTCCATAGTGGAGTTAATGCATGTGGTGAAAATCCTAGCACAGAGGAAGCAGAGGCAGGTGGATCTCTGAGTTCAAGAGAGCTCCAGGATAGCCAGGGCTACACAGAGAAACTGTCTCAAAACACCAAAAAACCAAACCAAACCCCACTGAATGCTTCATGTATTGCATGTCATCTTTGTGCAGGGGCCATGCTAATCTTCTGTGTAATTGTTCCAATTTTAGTGTGTTGTTGAAGCACAGCTTTTATTTATTTTCAAATTCTCATGCCTTTTCTTTCTTCCATTAACGAGGCAATTGAAGTTTCCTCCCAAGGGCCT